TCAATGTTTGCATCAGTGTTTACAATGTTCTGCATCAGTGTTTACAATGTTCTGCATCAGTGTTTACAATGTTCTGCATCAGTGTTACAATGTTCTGCATCAGTGTTTACAATGTTCTGCATCAGTGTTTACAATGTTCTGCATCAGTGTTTACAATGTTCGATATGAATGTTGAATGAAATAATGTTCAATGCTGACATCAATTATGTTCAATGTTAGGATAAATAAAGTTCAATGCTAACAATCTTCAAAAAAATAAAAAAAATAAAAAAATAAACATGAATATTTGAAAATGTTTATTAATATCACTACATACCTGTTTCCTTGAAGTTAGTTTGCCAGCATCTAATATCTCGGGTCTGATGCTTTCATTTGTACCAAGTGCATACAACAAACATAGTGAAAATAACGCCTTATAGTCAGAGTCACTGCACTCTAACGTGTTGATAATAGCCAACCAGTAAGGTCTAGAAATGAAACAAAACTTTTATGAACTGATCAAAATTTTTTACAGAAAACACTGTACTGGAATTGTTTTTGAAAGATCAGTAATAATAGATTGGGTTCGCAGTTATCAGCAGCACTGGATTTCGCCCGAGACCATTGAAAACCTGTTTTCAAGGGTCCATGGTTTGGCTTGAGGCCACCAGCAGTAATTTGGTTTGGTTTAGAGGTTATTGGCAGTATTGGGTTTGGTTTGGGGTTATCAGTACTTGGTTTGGTTTGGGGTTACCAGTAGTACTGAGTTTTGTTTGACCTTATCAGTAGTACTGAGTTTCGTTTGACCTTATCAGTAGTACTGGGTTTGGTTTGGGGTTATCAGTAGTATTGGGTTTGGTTTGGGGTTATCAGTAGTACTGGGTATTGTTTGGGGTTATCAGCAGTACTGGGTTTGGTTTGGGGTTACCAGCAGTACTGGGTTTGGTTTGGGGTTATCAGTAGTGCTGGGTTTGGTTTGGGGTTATCAGCAGTACTGGGTTTATTTTGGGGTTATCAGTAGTATTGGGTTTAGTTTGGGGTTACCAGTACTTGGTTTGGTTTGGGGTTATCAGTAGTACTGAGTTTCGTTTGGGGTTAGCAGTACTGGGTTTGGTTTGGAGTTATCAGCAGTACTGGGTTTGGTTTGGGGTTATCAGTAGTACTGGGTTTGGTTGGGATTATC